GGGAGGAGAGTGGGGAGAGATATACCTGGGCTAATAACAGATCAGGGGAAGGCTACGTTGAAGAAACTTTGGATAGATTTTTTGTTCCTCTTGAATGGCTGGTGTTATTTCCTAAGACCATAGTCGCCAGTTACTTTAAGAGCTCATCTGATCACTCTCAGCTGGTGGTAGACACTGATGAAGGGACTCCTATGTACAAGAAGCGTTTTCAATTTGACAAGCGATGGCTACGGAAAGAAGAAGTGCAGCAAGTAGTCAATGAAGCCTAACAGTATACAGATCTAGGCACTCCAATGTTCAGATTCAATGAGAAGGTTAAAAAGGCAAGACAAGCCCTGCTGCTGTGGAGCAAATTTTCCAACACTTAGAACATGGCCAAAATTTCTGATTTGTCTATGAGGCTTGAAGACATGAGAAATGAGGGGGGGAACAGAAACTGGGAGGCATGGGACAATATTCAGAAAGAATTGGATAATGCTAATGTATCTGAGGATCTTTTGGTAAGAAAAGGCCAGGGCATTGTGGTTTAAAGAGGGAGATAGAAACACTCGGTTCTTTCGTGCATATACTGCTCAGAGGAGGAGGATGAATACCATTAATAGACTCCTGGTTGATCACATATAGGTAGAGGGACAGGAAGAGATTGAACAGACTATCACTGATTACTACCAGAACCTTTATTTATATCAAGGATCATCTCAGGGACATTTACTTCTGCCTCTTATTGAATAGAAAATCTCGGAGGATATGAATAGCCTTGTTACTGCTCCTGTAGATGAGACAGAGATCATAAAAGCTTTATTCAGTATTCATCCAGATACGGCACAAGAGGAGGATGGGATGACTGGCCTTTTCTATCAGCATTTTTGGCCAATGATCAAACATGTCATGTGTAAGGCTGTGTTGAGTTTTCTTGAGTCTGGGAAACTCCTCAGGTATTGAAAGCATACCCTCATTACTTTAATTCCCAAGTGCCCTAATCCTGTATCTATACATCACTTCAGAACCATAAGCCTGTGTGTTCAGTCTTTTACATAATTATATCCAAGGTGCTGGCTTTGAGACTGAGACATTGCTTACATGTATGCATTTCTGATAATCAATCTGCTTTTCTTCCTGGTAGAAATCTCCTTGATAATGTTATCATTGTCCATAAGATCATCCATTTCTTGAATAGACGCAGAACAGGGCAAAACAAGTTTATGGCTTTGAAACTTCATATGATCAAAGCTTATGACAAAGTAGAATGGAGATCAATTCAACTCACTATACTAAGAATGGGTTTTAGTGCTCAATTTGTTAAATGGATCATGGCTTGCATTCAATTCCCTCTTTTAATGTAAATGGCAGAACTTGTGGCTTGGTCAATGCTTCTAGAGGATTAAGACAAGGGGACCCTCTGTCCCCTTAACTGTTCCTTAATATTTCTGAGCTACTTTTTGCTAAGATCAGATCTGAAACAGAGAAGGACTTTTTTCATGGCATCAGACTGTCTAGGGAGGGTCCTCTGTTAACCCATCTTATGTTTGCTGATGATACATTGCTTTTCTGTAATGTTGGGGAAAGACATGTGGACAGAATTTTTCACATTTTGCAGGTTTATAAGTCTTTCACAGCAACAAGTGAACATGGCCAAGTCCTCAGTTTTGTTTAGCAAAAACTCCCCTTTGAGGCTACAGGAGAGAGTGTGGTTCTATGCTTCAAGGTATTCAGGCTCATTCCTCTACAAGATACTTGGTATTACCCATGGGGTTGGGTAGATCCAAAAGAGAAGCCTTTGAGTATATTTTGACTGTGGTGAAGAAGAGAGTTCTCAACTGGAAGAACAAGTGACTATCTATAGCTGGGAAGGAAACACTCATTAGAGCTATCATTAATGCCCTACCAGTATATGCAATGTCTTGTTTTGCCTTGCCAGTAGGCCTTTGCAAGGAGATGTCAAAAGCGTGTTGTCAGTTTTGGTGGAGCAAACATGCTGATCAAAAGAGAGGTTTTCCATGGATTGCTTGGGATAAGTTGACTCTTTCTGAAGAGCAATGGGGATTATGTTTCCAGGATATCCAACTCTTTAACACAACCTCATTGCAAAACGAATTTGGAAGCTTGTCTCTGATCCTGATTCTTTGGCCAGTAGAGTTCTTAAGACCAAGTATTTTCCACATTCTACTATTTTGAGGTCCAGAAGAAGTCCAGTTCTTCTTGGCTTTGGAATAATTGGATCTCTGTGCTGCAAAAGTGTGGGAAATGGCTGCAGATTTAAATTAGAAATAGCAAAAAGACGAGGATTTGGGATGAGCATTGGATACCAAACAGAATTGGTCTACCTGTGGAACTGCTACCTGGTATTGCAGAGGCACTAACTGGGTGAGTGATTTAATGACTAGTGATGGTGTTGGCTGAGATGAAGACAAAGTTAGAAAAACTTTCCATTCTGATATTTGTGATCAGATCCTCAACATCAGGACTTTGAACTCCCAACAGAATGACAGGTGAAATTGGAACCTTCACAAAAAGGTATTTTCACTGTTCACTCTACATACTCTAAACTTATCTCTGAAAAGTTCTTACAATTTGATCAAGCTCAGGGAAGTTCATATTTAGTCAGAGATGTTAAGATTAGAAATATGAGCTGGAGTTTAAAAGTCATGGGAAAAGTGAAACATTTTATATAGAAATGTTGTAATAATTCCTTACCAGTCAGTGTCAATTTGCATAAGAGAGGCATTGTAGTTGATACTATATGCAGGCTGTGTGGAGAAGCAACAGAAACCATTGAGCATATTCTGTTCCATTGTGACTTAGCGAAAAAGACATGGAAACTAGCACCAGTTAGTTGGGATGGCCACCATCAGCAAGTCTCCTTTAAACAGTGGTGGTGGAAGGTGTGTCAGTTGGATAACTCTTGCATTTTCGAAGTCCGAATTCAGTTATCGACGTATAGTTTGTAGTGGCTTTGGAAATCTCGCAACCTTTGGGTGTTCGAAAAGGCTAGGAGACCTGCACAGTTTAGCGTCCAAGCGGCTGTTCAAGATTGGCAGGGCAGTAGAGTGACACAGGTCCGATTTTAGTTTTTCAGTGTGGTTGGTTTTTTGTTGGTTTTTGATGTTGTGTAGAGTGTCAGTTTTTTAGGTTGTCTTTCCATTTCGCTTTCTTCTTTCAGCCATTAACTGTGGATGTAGGCAGTGACATGTCACTGCTTTATCCCGGTTTTAGTTGTGATGTGTGTTGCTTGTGTTCGTGTTGTGTTTTGTCATCTATGCTACCTGTGAGTGGTTCTCTCATTTGCCGGCTTGTATTGTTTTGTGGACACTTTGTATGGTTCATTGTTATATGCTATGAGCTTTCTGTAGTTGAAAAAAAAAAAAAAAAACAAAAAGTACATCGAACGTCGAGTGGCTGCAAAGTAACGTGGCCGAATAAAATCAGAACTGTATTGAGACGCAAAAGTAGTTTAACTTTAACCACACCAATACCATTGCAACCAGTCAAAAAAGTCCAAAAGGCGGACTTATCGCAAAGAACTGTGGGAGACGCTAAAAGAATCAATCGTAGCCTACACGGGCCTCTCTCCAGCTACTTTCTTCACGGTTCTTGCCGTAGGCCTCACCCTTTACTACGTCGTTTCGAATTTGTTCGGCTCCTCCGATGACGGCCATATCCAGCAGAGGTCGAGAGGTTTTGAGGAACAAATGGAGCCTCTGCCGCCTCCGGTTCAGTTAGGTGAGATCACAGCTGAGGAGCTTAAGCAATACGATGGTTCTGATTCTAAGAAGCCCCTGCTCATGGCTATTAAGGGTCAGATCTATGACGTCACGCAGAGCAGGTATAACTTTTCGTTTTTTTTTTTT